CAACAAAATTGTCCAGGCCAGAGCTTTGCAAAGCCGGGTCTTAAAAATCTCTAAGGATGAAGATTCCACCACTTCCCTAGGTAACCCATTCCAAAAAAAAGGAAGTATTTTTGGCTAACCAATTTTGACACAATTCTAGGTTGCCTTTCTTTGGCAGAGTGATGATTAGTGACTGTGTCCACATGGAGGGCCACTCACCGGTCTGCCAAATCTTGTTGAGTATATCTATTACTATTTCTCCTCCGAATTTCATCAGCTGGGATGTTGTCAATACTTGTAGCCTTTCCGTTCTTGAGCGATTTCACTGCTGTCTCCATTTCTTCACGGAGTATTGGAAAGTCATCCTCCTCTATTGAATCTGGGCTGTCTAGGACACTAGGATCTCCATTTGTCTGGTGGTTGTATAGATCAGAGCAGTAATTTGTCCACCTATTGATGATGTCCTTTTCTTCTGTAAGATTGTTCCCTTCTTTGTCTTGAATTGTGTTAGCTTTGGTCCAGCTTTCCTTCGTCGGATCTTTTACAATCTGGAAGGCTCTATTGCTATTTTTATTATTGATACACTCTTCATTTTTAGAGCACTCTTTTTCAATCCGTATCTCCTTGGCCACCTTCATTCCTTTCTTGATCTTTCTGCCAATTGCTCTGTACTGATCAGCTCCCTCAGTGCTGTTCTTGTCTCTCGAGTTCTCTTCCAATGTCTCACATTTGTAGTATTTCATTTGTGACACAAAGTTTTGTCTTCTTCCGGAGTTTCCCAAGAACGTCCATTGCTGCCTCATTCATTACAGCGTTGAAATTGTTGGTCATCGTTTCTACGTCTTCCTCTAGAGCAAGCAGCGGAGCAAATTTTCCACTGGTCATTGCTTGGAATGACTCTGCAATGCTTCGGTCTAAGTCTTTCTGAGTCAAACTTGATTCTGGTGAACTCTGGCCTGACGATTTTCCTTAGCCACAGCCAAAAGTTTAGCATCACAAGGTCATGATCACTTCCAATATCAGCACTAATACAAGTACTGTAGTGCAATCTCTTATCACGAAAGTTGAACTTACACATATAGAATTAAGTACAAAAAAACCCTGCATTCAAAAATAAAACAATGTAAAACTTTAGACATTACAAGTCCCCTCAATCCTACTTCTTGTTCAGCCAATTGCTCAGACAAACAAGTTTGTTTACATTTGCAGGAGATAATGCTGCCTGCTTCTTGTTTACAATGTCACCTGAAAGTGAGAACAGGCATTCACATGGCACTGTTGTAGCCGGCATCACAAGACATTTTATGTGCCAGATGCACTCAAGATTCATATGTCCCTTCATGCTTCAACCACCGTTCCAGAGGACATGCGTTGATGCTGATAACGGGTTCCACTCAATAACCATCCAAAGCAGTGCAAACCGACACATGTTCATTTTCATCATCTGAGTCAGATACCACCAGCAAAAGGTTGATTTTCTTTTTTGGTGGTTTGGATTCTGTAGTTTCCACATTGGAGTGTTGCTCTTTTAAGACTTCTGAAAGTATGCACCACAGCTCGTCCCTCTCAGATTTTGGAAGGCACTTCAGATTCTTAAACCTTGGGTCGAGTGCTGTAGCTACCTTTAGGAATCTCACATTGGTACCTTCTTTGCATTTTGTCAGATCTGCAGTGAAAGTCTTCATAAAACGAACAACATCTGCTGGGTCATCATCCGAGACTGCTATAACATGAAATATATGGCAGAATGCAGGTAAACCAGAGTAGGAGACATACAATTCTCCCCCCAAGGAGTTCAGTCATAAAATTTAAATTAATGCTTTTTTTTTTTTTAACGAGCATCATCAGCATGGAAGCGTATCCTCTGGAATGGTGGCCGAAGCATGAAGAGACATATGAATCTTTAGCGCATCTGGCACGTAAATATCTTGCAATGCCAGCTACAAAAGTGCCGTGCGAATGCCTGTTCTCATTTTCAAGTGACACTGTAAATGCTGCCCGCTTCTTATTATCTCCCGTAAATGTAAACACACTTGTTTGTCTTAGCGATTGGCTGAACAAGAAGTAGAACTGAGTGGACTTGTAGGCTCTAAAGTTTTACACTGTTTTGGTTTTGAGTGCAGTTATGTAACAAAACAAAACAAAAAAAAATTTGTAAGTTGCACTTTCACCATAAAGACATTGCACTACAGTACCTGTATAAGGTGAATTGACAAATACTATTTCTTTTGTTTGCCATTTTTACAGTGCAAATACTTGTAATAAAAAATAATGTGAAGTGAGCACTGTCTAGTTTGAATTCTGTGTTGTAATTGAAATCAATATATTTGAAAATGTAGAAAATCATCCAAAAAAATTTAATAAATGTCAATTGGTATTCTATTGTTTAACAATATGATTAAAACTGCGATTAATTTTTTCATCACAATTAACTCAAAAAATTGAATCGCGATTAATCAAACAGCCCTAAAAATAATACCAACACCTAGCTCCTATATAGCACTTTCCATTCACAGATCTCAAAGGAGGTCAGTATCCTCATCCCCATTTTACAGATGGGAAAACTGAGGCACAGGGAGTGGTGATGACCAACCCAAAGTCACCCAGCAGGCCAATGGCAAAGCCACGAATTGAATCCAGGTCTCCCAAGTCCCAGTTCAATGTCCTGTATTATCATGTCCACACAGCATCCCTGGTAGCGGTGCTAGCAAACATGTCTCACAATGAATAGACTAGAGCACGGGTATTGCCTGGAGGCAAACTATGTCCAGGAGGAAATGAGGTAAACTCCTTGGAAATCAGAGACAGCTACACCAAGAGATCTAAGCAATAAAACACAAAGAACCTACCTTCCCCCACCCCCAAACACCTGGGGGATTAAGACATTAAAACCTACAAGGAAAAAACAGAACAAGAAACCAGCCCACATCCCAGGCGCTTTGAGTCCCAGATAATCTGCTGCTTGGGTTCCCAGCTAACCACTCCAACGAGGAAGGCGTTCCCAGCCAGAGGGAGCTTTGGTGACTGGTCACAGGATACGGAGGCTTTCAGCTTCTGCCTCCAAACTGGCCCAGGTCAGCAGCAGCTGAAAAGCAGCTTCTCCCAACAGCTGCTGAGTGGCTGCAGTGAAACGAGGGCAAGTGGTCTCGATTTGGTTCCGAGCAAGGTAGCTGCTCTCACCCCCAAAATGGCAACCCAACCAGCCTCTGAATAGGCCGAGTCCCTGGCCTTTCCCCTCTTCCTGAACATAAAGCCTCTTGGACAATCCCTGTGTGTAACTGAGGTAAACAGGACGGTACAAAGGCTTTCATCACATGGCCTAGTCAATGCATCTGTCTCCTGCCATGGAGATCTCCCCCAATGGAGAAGTCTCCCTGGCAGCCACAGTGCTATTAGGGCCAACAGGGACAGTGATTTTTCTCTAACCTGTCCACAAGAAAGCGATGCCCATCAATCTTATTCCACAGACCCTGCCCACCAGCCACAACAGACTCAGGCCACTTGGGTCACAGTGAGCCCCACAACTTGTGGTGGAAGGTTCCGTATACCCCATTACCAACCCCGAGCCGCCCAGTCCCCACACAGCGCCACCGATTAGCAGCACCATCTGCAGGGCTCTCGCTGAGAACAAGGCAGGCCAGGATCCACTGGCGTCACCCATCTCCTCGCAGCCACACCTGAGCGAAGGGCAGCCAGAGGACGTGCTGCACGGCGCCATGGGCTGCGCGGGGCCCCATCGACTCACCTTTGAGGTCGGCGTTCAGGTTAACAATGAGGGGGCTGTTCTTCCAGTCGAAGGCCGTGAGCAGGTGAAGGAAGCGAAGGAAGCCCACCTGAGGGGAGCTGCGGGCAAGATAGAAACCACTGTAACGGGGTGAGAGAGAATGCACCACCTGCACACAAAGGAGCTCCGAGCCAGGCACTGCAGAACCCCAGCTAGGGAAGCGAGGGAGGAACCTCCTCACGGCCAGGGACCATGGGCATTTTGGCCTCTCTGGCCCACTGAGGAGGGACCATTCATTGAAGTCAGGTGGGAGCCTCTCCCCCGGTCACATTCCTGTGACTGAAACCGGGGATGGGGCAAAACGTTCTCCTCGGTCCTCTCCATCTCCTGTGTCTGCCTCTTCCACAGAGAGGCAGTTTTGTCTAGTGGTTACAGTGGGGGGGGCTGGAGTGAGTTCCCCTCTCTTAGTGGCCAAGTCGCTTCACCTCTGTGCCTGTTTCCTTCCCCATAAAACGGGGGACTATACATACCAGCACAAGGCAATGGACAGGCTTAATTAATGCTTGTGAAGTGCTTTGAGAGCCTCAGACAAAAGACTCCCTAGCAGTGTGTAGCATTATAAACAGCACAACTTATGGGGAGAAATCGGACCCTGCTGGGTCCTGTCGAGTCCACCTGCCCAGGGCCAGTGCAGGATTGGTCTCTATGGTACATTTACTAGTGTTTTGTTTCACCTAGTTTTAAACATGCCAAGTTTCCCCGGCTAACAAGCCAGGCTTCCGCTGCCAGCATGAAGCTCCCAACGTATGTATGGAAACCATCTCATCAACATCATAAACCCAGGAGTCCTGACACCCATGCCCGTCTAGAAGCAGGACAGGAACAGCAGATGGGAGTAACTGGGGTTCACGCTGTCCCAGCCTCACATTCAGCTGCGGGAAAGCGCGAGTGTGACCCTAACTGAGGATGGTTAAACCCCAGAGGAATGATTCGTACCAGGGGAACTGCACAGATGTTTATTCCCATAGCCCCTTGGTGTGACTGCATCTCCAGAGCCTCCCATCCCCGACCTGGGGCACACATCCCCCTTTCTCTCACAGCCCTTCTGCAGCCAGGCCCCTGTCTGCTGATACACGCTCATTTCTGAGCTGCAGCAGCCTGGAAGCTGGGCTCTGGGCTTCCATCCCCCCCCCAGCCTTGGCTCCTGCGGTGGTACCAAGCTCGGGGATTCCTCCCCAGGCTTCCCCTCCTGGCAGCTATAGCCGGGGCAACCCAGGCTCGGGGCTTCCGCCCCCTGCCAGGGTAGCCCGGGTTCAGGGCAGCCCAGGCTCGGGGCTTCCGCCCACTGCTGCAGCCAGGGGCTGGGGTCTCCACTTCTGTCCCCGCCCAGCTCCGCAAACTCAGGGCTTCCTCCTCCAGTGGCTCCCGAAATCGTGAAATTGACCAAATTTGAAAACCCTCTGGCCCTGAAGTTGACCAGAATGGACCGTGAATTTGGTAGGTCCCTACTCATCGCCCATGGTGGCTCAGGACCAGTCACCCATGCAGCTTCTCAGGACTGAACTGGTCCCCAACTGCACTTCAGTAATAAGCCATTAAAATCGCAGTGAGTGTGTTGGGGCAGACTCCCAGCCCCGCCCCCCTCCTCTCCCAGCCCTGCCCTCGGTTCCCTCACCCAAAGCACCCCAAGAAAACAGGAGAGAGTTAATCCAACATAAAAAGCAGCGAGGCCAGGGCTCCCCGGTTCTCACCTCGGCGGGGTGAAAGGTGCTGGGTGCAGGAACAGAGACGCCGCCAGCAGATCCACGCACTCATCCGAGAGGCTGTCACTCAGCAGCTGGGCGCGGACCCAGCGTTTGGCTAGCCGGGAGGCGCCGCTGAAGGCGGGGTGTTGCTGCTGGAGCCTGCAGGGAGAAGGAAGAGAAGCAACAACATGACCTCATTATCCCAGTCACCCAAGCCACCCCAATGGCCTCCGATTGCAGAGCTGTGAATGGATGGATCGTTTGCTGCAAGCACTGGATTTGCTGGGGTTTTGTGGAGAGGCAAGGGGGAATGGGTCAGTCTCATTCACTCCGTAGCCTTGCTGCTACAACTGCTATTACTTTGCTACTGAGCGACTGCCCAGACCCACCGGTCACCATAACTGGAGGGGAAGGTCTCTCAGATCTAGCAGAAAGCTGCCAATCAGTTCCCTACCCACAATGCACTCCTCTCCCCCCCCCCCCAATGCTTTGCCCGTTCCTTATAGACGTAGAGCGCTGGAGGACCAGTTCCCTACTGTGACTCTGAGCCAGAAAGGGTTACGCAACTAGCAGGCTAAATGACCCAAATGCAACCTTTAAAGCCATATTAGAAACGTATGTAAATGGTAATTAGGGCTATTCCATATAAATAGCTCACGTAGCCATGTCCGATAGCCTAGAGCAAACCTACATTGTTAGAGAATTAGAGGTAAATATTAAAAGGTATTCGTATGTGTTTACTTATATCTTATTAGAGATTAACCATGTAACCAGATGGTTCCTGTCTGTTACTATATCTATTGATTCAGAGATGAGAAGGGATTAACACCAAGATGGAACTTGAGTGTAATAATACCATTACTATAAACTTCAAAGAGAAATATAGACAAACTATCTATGAACTGCTTAATGGATAATTATCTTATGCTGATGAATGCAACTAAATACCTGTGCGTACATAGGAAATAGAAGGTTTTACCTCAAAGCTGCAATGCTTCACCCAAGGAATACCTGCTGTCAAGAGGCTATTGATAGCCTGCCAGAGATCTATAAAAGAACTCTAGGGCCCTGATCCTGTATCTCAGATCTGCTTAAGCTTGGTCAGGGGAAACTTGTGTCACGAGACAGAAGCCTCCAGCTCCCGTCTAGATTGCCCTGCTATTTCCCATGGAAGAATTTGAACAAACTCTTTATATGGGCTGCCTATTCGGACTATAACCTGATGAACTAATTCTGGAAAGAAGTTTTTGCAAATCAGCAGCTCACCGTCTCTACTATGAAACTGACCTAAGAACTGTATTCATATCTGTATGTACAATGAACTTTTAACCACAATACTCACACTCTCTCTCTCTCTCTCAAAATAAACCTTAGTTTCGTTAATAAGAATTGGCTGTAAGCGCGTATTTGGGTAAGATCTGAGATATTCATTGACCTGGTGGGTATTGTGTCCGATCGCTTGGGATTGGTAGGACTTTTTATAGGATGAACAAGATTTTTCATAATCCTCATCATATTTGACTTGGCTGTCTGGGTGGGAGCCCAAGGCTGGGTTGCTTTAAGGGAGTTGTGGTTTTGACTTCTGGGTAGCCAGGAAGGTACACCGCTACCCCAATATAACACTGTCCTCGGGAGCCAAAAAATCCTACCGCGTTATAGGTGAAACCATGTTATATCGAACTTGCTTTGATCCGCTGGAGCGCGCAGCCCCACCCCCCCGAGCGCGGCTTTACCGCGTTATATCTGAATTTGTGTTATATTAGGTCATGTTATATCGGGGTAGAGGTGTATTGTAGAAGCTGTTTTGTTGCTGGCTTGATGATCCTAATTATAACCACCACTGGTTTTGGGGATCGTCTGTCCCATTCTTTGCAGTTTGCCCTGATTAAGCAATCTCAGTGTGGCCCCTCCAGGCACCAACAGTCACACCTACCCATAATGCACTCCTCTCTCCCTGCAGGGCATACCCTCTTCCTTACCCGTGCAGAGAGCTGGTCAGGTAGGGCAGGTGGAGCGTCTCCAGTTCCAGCTGCTGAGACTCCTCTGTGTCCCGGTACTTCAGCATCCCCTCTGGAGTGACCACCTCCTTCAGGATCTGGGGCTCCCTGTGGTAGGCCACTTGGAGGCGGAAAACATAGCCATCCTGAGAGAGAGAGAGGGCAGGAGAGTGAGCCACAGCGGGTGGGGGCAGGAGCCCAGAGCAACATACACAGGCTATGCCTTGAACTTGTATCCCTAAGGCAAGGATGCAGAAAAGTTACTTATAGTATCTGGAGGTTCTTGGAGATATGTCATCCCTCTCCGTTATCCACTGTGGGTACGCACGCGCTCCATGTGCCTGGAGCTGGAGAATTCTGAAAGCAGCGACTACTGGTCTGCATACGCACCCTGGCTCACCTGGTGCCTCCGACCAAGGAGATAAAAGGCGGGGCGACCACCTCTTCAGTTCCTTCTGCACCACGAATCACAGAAGATCCGAAGCAGAGGGGAAGGAGGGTGGGTAGTGGAACACGGAGAGGGACCACGTATCTTGAAAAACCTCCAGTTATTACAAGGTAAAATAACTTTCTTTCCTTTTTTGAGTGCTGGTCCCTCTGTGTATTCCACTGTGGGTGACGGACAAGCAGGACCCCAAAAGGAGGAGAGTGTGAGGTCGTGGATAGCAGAGCCAAATCAAGGACTACCATTCCAGAAGATGCACCAAACGGAGGAATCCGCTACCAAGACGTAGCATCTCACAAAGGTGTGAAAGCTGCTCGAGCTACCCGCCTTGCGGATATCAAGTAAAGGCGCTTACTGAAGCAATGCCATGGCCATTGCTTGCACTCTTGTGGAATGAGCTCTTACCCCATGAGGCGGGGGGAAGACTAGACAGCCAGTGGGCTGTATTTTGCTCTGCTGAGATCCATTTGGAGATTCTTTAAGAGGAGATAGCCTGACCCTTCCCACTATGCTGACAAACAGTCTAGGAGAGTTTCTGATTGGTTTTGTTCTCTGCGAGTAAAAGGCTCAGGCTCGCTGAACATCAAGGGATTGGAACCTCCTTTCTTCTGAGGGCGTGAGAGGTTTTGGGAAGAACACAAGTAAGCAAACTGACTGATTCAGGTGACACGCAAACTGCTTTGGGGGGTGAATTCAGGGTGTAAATGTAATGAAACCTTGTCCTTATGGAATACAATGCCCCAAGCTCACCAACCCTCCTGGCTGAGGTGATGGCAACCAGGAATGCAACCTTCATGGATAGGAGAGACAAGGCGCAAGAAGCTAATGGTTCATGACAGAGATGAACAGGTCCCTGGTGGTGTTCCCACACAGAGTCAAAATATTGTTCACCAGAGTCGTGTAGGTCCCACTCACCATCAACGGCACAATGTCTGCTGAGAGAATCCACTGGCACATTCTGGTTTCCTGGGAGGCAGACTGCCAATGCACCTGCTCCACAGATTGACCGCTTCTGTGCGCAGGGGAATGGATCTCGCTCCTCCCCATTGGTTCATATGAAGGACTGTTGTGATGTTGTCCATCACCACAATGGCACAGTGACCTTGAATGAGCGGGAGAAAAGCTTTGCAAGCCTTTCGAATGGCCCGCAACTCCAGAACATTGACGTGCACCCTGGACTCTCTAGATGTCCAGGTGCCCAATGTCACAACCCAATGGCCCCCTCCCCCTAGGGAGTCCCCTGGGAAGGTAGATCAGCACTGTATATTGCTAACGCTGTTGCAAGCATCACAAAGCATTTCGGGGAGGGTTAAAGGTGTGTGAATGGAGAGTGGAAGATTCCTTTGCAAGTTTACGAGAGGCCGATGGGGGGGACAGGGGGAAGAAAGCAGAGAACGGGTTAATTCAACGCTGCAACTAGCAAGCTCAGTCCGAAGATAAGAAGCTGACTCCAGCCCAAGGCCAGCTGCTACCTGCCAAGACAGAAAGGGAGAAGTCCAACCGTGAGAAAGGAAAGTTGTTGAACAAAATACAGGGTCTGGGAAAAGGAGCGAGACGGCGAAGGCCAGCCAGGAACAAACAGAACCGTCTCATGGCCCTGAAACCGGTGTGTTTTGGGGGAAGTTGAAGAGACCACAGAAAGCCAGTTTGGACTGTCACAAAGAGCACCAGGAGCAGAGTTCCCTGAATGAAACCCCCCCCAAGGAGCCCAGGACTTAAAACCCTCCTGAGAGCCGAAGCAACTCGGAGAGCACAGCGGATCCTTGGACGGCTTGGGCCCAGGACAGCACTCCCCGTCCACCTCCACCTCCCTTCTTCTGACGTTACACCCAGACTTGGCCAGTCTAGGTCGTGTGTGTGTGTGTGAGAATATGAAAGTAGGTTAGGGACTGGGGCATTAATGCTTTCTTTCTTCCCCTGAGAGATGTGGGAGCATTCCCAGCACTCTCTGCTGTGATTTTATTATTTTAATCAGTAAAGCTTTAACATTTAGACACTTGGTGCGCCTCGTCATCTCCTCCCCAAAAAGATCCTGTGGCCCCAGCCTGATCAACTGTGGCCCAGGCAGATTGATAACGAAAATCTGTCACACCAGCGCTAAAACAGTTGTCCTTCTGGGCTCCCCAACCCAACAGGGGTGTACTGGTAATCATCCTTCTGTCCAGAGTGGAGGCGAAGAAGGGAACATCAACACATACCCAGCGGGGATTCTTCCACCACGACAGGGATGGTATCACTTGGACAGGAACAGTCACTCTGGTGTTCACGGACTGCCGGTTTGGCGAGTATACTGTTTGAAGCCACACTTGTAGGCAACAGAGATGGCATCTTGAAAATGGCATGACATAATCGCATGAAGCCATGTGACCTAGGAGAGAGAAAAATCTTGACAGGTACTCGGGGGCTGCTTATGACCTGATCAAGAAGATTAGTCATAGCCTGAAACCTATCCCCCGGCAGGAAAGCCCTTGCTGTGACTGAATTTAAGGATGCCCCAATGAAGTCTAAAGTCTGCTTGGGATGAGGACAGATTTTTTTTTGGCATTTACGCTGACCCCCAAAGAGGAAAAGAGTTGCAGGATTGTCAAATGGATGCGAAAACCTCTTGGCATGACCTGGTGACAAGGAGCCAATCATCGAGGTAGAGGAAAACAGTGACACCATGGTGTCTGATACTGGCTGCTACTATAGAAAACACCTCGGTAAAAACCGTGGAGGTGGTAGCAATGCCGAAAGGGAATACGCTGTATTGAAAGTGGTCAGAGCCCACCACGAGTCTGAGAAAGCGTCTGTGAGTGGGGTTGATGTCCATGTGAAAATAGGCATCCTTCATGTCAAGGGCAGTAAACCACATGTCCTTTTCTAAGGATGGAATTAAGGATGACACTGTGACCGTGCAAAACTTGAGTTTGACACTAAAGTGGTTGAGACGGCAGGTCGAGAATGGGTCTCCAACTGCCTAGGAAAGACATCGAGCAAAAACCCCTCCCTTGGTACTGAAGAACTCACTCTATCGCTCCGCACTGTAAGAGGGACTCCACTTCTCATTTGAGAACATTCTCGCACGGGTGGAGGTGGGGACGGGGGCTTTGGAGGGGGTAGGGACATTCATCCATTCTGGCTATATGATGGAGTGTCATTCGCACGCACTTGTCCATTGTTATTGCACTCCAGGTACTGAAAAAAAGAGAGCTAGACAATGACCTCCAAAGCGTGCATAGGGGGGTCAGGAAGGGTAGGACTTAAGTAGTTTGCAGCCCCCATCAAAAAACAGCGCGTAGCCAAGGGCTTGGATTGGGATGAGGAACCTGCAGCCAAGCAGGACTTTTGAACCCCTGCTTCTTACGGGTTGGGTCAAAAGGTCGCTGGTGATAGAACTGTTGAACCATCGGTCTAGGCTTGTATGGTTGCCAGTGGAATTCTCTCTTTGGGGCAGGTATATATACTTCCAGGGAGTGGAGTGCGGCCCTAGAGTCCTTTAAAGTGTGTATGGACTCAGGCGTCTCGTGATTAAACAGATGAGTCTCAAACCTCTACAGTGTTCTAGACCTCCCTGGGAAGCCTCAAAGCATGGAGCCATGACTCCCTGAGCATTCCCCTGGGAGATGTATCAGCTGCATCTACCACTGATTGGAGACCAGTCCTGGCAACAAGTTTGCTTTCTTCTATGAGGGCCTGCCAACTAGCTCTGTCCTGCTGCGGAAGCCTGTCAGCAAAGTCCACGATTTTTGAGTAGTTCAGGAAGTTGTACTTCGCCATTAGCGCTTGGTAGTCGGCTGTTCTGAACTGGAGGCTAGAAGAAGAAAAGACCTTCCTTCCCAATAAGTCAAGACGCTTGCCCTCCGCATCAGTCAGGGGAGATCGTAGGGGTTGTTCCCTGGATCGCTCCTGGACCACTAAAGAGAGTTCGGGGCAGGATGAGAGAACAGAAATCTCGCCGCTTTGGCTGGAACACAGTACCATTTCTCTGTCCTCTTGCCAGACGGCTCTAGCTGGCTCCAGCTAACGGGGAATGCTATTCGACTGGAGCCAGAGGACTGGAGGACATCCAAGAACTTGAGGTTCAGGATCCTCAATACCTTAAGAGGAATCTGCAGCTCCCCAGCAATTCTGCGAAGAAGCTCTTGGAAGTGCTGATAGTCATCAAATGGGGGTTGGAGACACTGGAGTCACCACCTCATCTGGAGATGGAGACATTGACGGCCATCTCATCAGTTCCCATGGAGCCACCAGATCAGGCACATACTCCTCAGCTGGGCCGGCGGCAGTTCCGGTTGCCCTCTCAAAGGGGAGGGAAGAGGAGACTCCCTAGCAGACCAGACCAGCACTGCAGAATGGTACTGGTCCCATAGCCCCCAGTATAACCAATAGGATGGATTGAATGAGAGTTGCGGAGGTTCCCATGGCATGGGGTACCAACAGTTCCAAGCAGGTGATGAGGTGGAGGTTTGGTCCCGAACTGGTCCAGGCCTTGTGACCAGGAAGGTGTGTCTTGGAGGAGGGACTGACAGTTCATTGGGCGATTCAGAATCTCCTGATGAGAAGAAAGCTTATTCTGGGTCCAACAGCGCCACAGGAGGGAAGTCATAGCCCGAAGACTATGGGATGGAATGGGAGACCAACTCCTCCCAAAGGTCAGGTCTCCTGGGGGAATCGTAACCTCTCTCGAGAGGGAGGGACCCAAAGGAGGGGAGACTTGGCCTGGGAGAAAGAATTTGTTCTCTGGAAGAGGGTAGGTCTTGGCTCTTCCTGTAGCAAGAGGGCTCCCATCTGCCCGAACCACCGGAGTCGCAGTAGAGACCGTCTGTGCCACTGCCATGGAAGACAAGGATGGTACCACAGGTAACCGATGCTCTCAGGGATCTGTCTTCCGTTGGTGGCTTGTGTTTGCAAGGTACCAGTGCTGCCGGATCGCCATCTGGTGCCGGATGGGAGCCCTAGACTTGTGAGCTTTCTCGTCATGCTGCTGAGACTTAGGACATACAACGTTTTCTTGGGCTGGGCTTAGACACTTGCTCAGTTTAGCCAGGGCTGAATCAGACTGCCTTCTTCAAAGTGGATTTGGAGGAAGACTTGGTCTCATGCTTATGAGAATGCTCCCTGCTCTCCTGAGAAGACCCCAACAAGAGATCTTCAGGGGTAAAGTCCTTCGCTCCTGATTCAGAACTCATGGCAGAAGGCACCCCTTGCTGAGTCAGGTCTATGTATGGGGGGCTGCCCCAGCCTGGGTCTGATCAGCCCAGAGTCCTGCGTATAACCTACTACCAGAAACAGGGAATGGGGGTGGGGTGAGTGGAAGGAGAGCTCCCCAAGCCTGGAGAGAGTAACTAAAAAACACTAAAAATGACCAGATAAAACTTTAAAACTCAAACCTCTAAAAGCTACTTACAGCTATCTCACTCTGTGCTCACCGATAAAGGAATAAAGCTGAAGTTTCAGACACTGGACGTTATGACCAGGACCATGCGGCAACAAGAAGGAACTGGGGAGGCAGTCGGTCCACCCCGCCCTTTATCTCCTTGGTCAGAGGCACAAGGTGAGTCAGGCCACGTGTGCGAATCAACAGACGCTGCTTTCAACGTTCTTCAGCTCCGGGCACACGCGTACCCACACTGGAACACACACAGGGACCAGCACGCCAGCCTCATGCCTGGTGGTGCCTGCAACCCACCAGCCAGAATCCCAGCTCTGTGGCTGGCAGTGTCAGCCGCTGTACACACCCCACAGCCCCTTTGGCTCCCTCACAGGAAGCCAGGCACAAAAGATCCTTGACTCCTGAGACCAGCCCATCGGAGAAGGATCCCTGCCTGCCCCCGCCCCAGATTCCCTTGTCTGTACCTTGTACACGTCTGTGTGAGTGGCTGCAGGCCGGCAGAGGAGTTGGTGCTGCTGGTTGAGGAGCTCGGCCAGGCGGAGGTGGAAAGCGGCTTTGACGCGTTTGATGGCTTCTTTGTCCTGTGGCCACTGGCCACTCCCTTCCATGTGGCACACAACTGAGGGATTAAAGCAGCCACGGGAACATGGTGAGCCCGGGGCAGCAGTGAAAGACCAGGTCACAATGCAGAGGGCTGGGCGGCTTAGTGGCTAGAGCAAGGCACTGGGAGCCAGGACTCCTGGGTTTGGTTCCCAGCTCCAGCACAGATGCAGGACTTCCCACGTAACCTTGGGCAAGTTATTCCCCTCAACCCCTCCCCCCCCGTGCCTCAGTTTCCCCTCCTTGCTATCCTACCTTTCATTGGGGCTATATATGCCGGGCAGGGCTTCTGAGCCAATGGAAGCAGTGACTCCTTATCCTTGATCCTCATGTGGTACGAATAATCCGGTTTCATGGGGGTTGGAGGGAAGACCTAGGACACAGCCAGACTGGAGTTTAATGGGGTGATATTGGAGAAAGCGGGATGCACCCAGCGAGGCAGCACGTCCCTCCCAAACACGGTGCCATACTCGTGCCGACCATCGCAGCCAGCAAGAGCACGGCCACGCAAGCAGCCATGTGCATGGCACCAGCCCCACACTGGTCAAGCCTCGTGCTACAGGGCACAGGTGGGTCATCGGCTGGGGAAGCTGCACAGGCGCGCGGGCAGCGAAAGAG